CCAGGTCAGGCACGCACATCACCAGCACCGCCGCAAAGGGGTCAGTGTCGTCCGCGTCGGCGGCGGGCGGCTGCTGCGAGCGCTGCGCCGACCCCATCGCGCCGGTGGTCTTGTTGTCGACCGCCTGCAAGCAGGCTCCGCCGCAGGTCCCGGGGAGAGGCTACGCACATAGCCGGCCGCTCTTCGCCGTCGGCCGCACAGTGTGCGAGCCGCCGTCCTCCTTGGCTTGGCGGAAGGGGTTGAGCGTCGAGTGGCGGCGCGCGTAATCCTGGTAGTGCACCGCCCGCCTCAGCCCGTACGACTCGGCCACCTGCGTCACCTTGTCGTACGGGTCACCCACCAGCAGCACACGCCGATTCGCGAGCTCGGCACCGAGCGCGCGCTTCCAGGGCGAGTAGGAGAGGATCATGTTCTCGTCCGACATGAGCGGCGCCGGGTCGCTCGCGTTGGATGCGGCGCCCGTCACCTTTGCCGCAAAGCCGCTCGCGTACGACTTCTCGGTCAGGCCGCCTCCGCCGTTGGTGACAAACACGTGCGGGATGTTGGCGGCGGCCAGCCGCTGCAGCGCGGAGTAGCCGTCGGGAGACCACTCGCGGCCGTACTTGAAGACGCCGTCGATGTCGAAGGCGACCGCCGCCAGGCCACTGCCTGATCCGTTGTCCGTCATGAGCCCGCTGGCGGATAGCGAGCCAGGCCGGAGCTCGCCCAGAGCCCACCGGCGAAGCCGGTTCCCCGCAAAAAGAGAATTACCTCCAAATGCGGGTGCAGTCGACCAAGGGACATGATCTGTCGACAGCACGAATTTGTGATGGGACACCATCGGGACCCAACAGTGCGATACTTGGCTATCGCACTGTTGACGTACCGGCGGCTAAGGCCGAGTAGCCGGTGTTCACAGAGCTCTGTGAACACCGGCCAGAGATTTTTTCTCTCGACGTTTCTTCTGCGAAGAAACGTTCAAACACTCGGTGTCGAAACACCTCTCCGACGCGCTCGACTATAGTCTGCGCCCCCTCCACAACACTGCCACGGACTGTCCCAGTCGTTGGTCGGACTGTGTTTCGCCTTCCCATCAATCAATCAAACTGGCTCGCACTGGCACTAACACAAAAGAGAAATAAGTTGTTTTCAAGGGTTGCCCGGCCGGGTTGCTGCGCAAAAGCTTTTGTGTGCGCGGGTTCGCGCTGCGCTAGGCTCAGAGCGAGTTCGCGCTGCGCTAGGCTCAGACGGCGAGTTCGCGCTGCGCTAGGCTCACACCGCCCAACAGTTGATGGCCCGTACTACTGCCACCGCCTCGTCGTTGAGGGGGCAGTCAAAGAAAGCATGGTCGCCAATCGAGACGCCATCGGGCAGCGGCGTGATGGAGGTGAGGGCGGAGCACCCCTCGAAGGCGCCGCGGCCGACGGAGACGAGGGCGGCAGGGAGGGCGACGGAGACGAGGGAGGAGCAGCGACGGAAGGATTGCTCGCCGATGGAGACGAGGCTGGCGGGGAGGTGGATGGAGGTGAGGGCGGTGCACTCGCGGAAGGCGTAGCTGCCGATGGAGGTGACGCCGGCGGGGAGGTGGATGGAGGTGAGGGAGCAGCTTGAGAAGGCCTCCTCGCCGATGGAGACGACGCCGGCGGGAAGGGCGACGGTCCGACGGAGGTGAGGGACCGGCAGCTGCGGAAGGCGCCCCTGCCGATGGAGGTGACGCTGGCGGGGAGGGTGACGGAGGCGAGGGAGGAGCAGCTGCAGAAGGCCTCCTCGCCGATGGAGACGACGCCGACGGGAAGGGCGACGGAGGTGAGGGCGGTGCAGCAGTGGAAGGCGCAGTCGCCGACGGAGACGAGGCTGCTCGGGAAATCGACCGAGAGAGAGTTGTGTTGAAATCACGACCGAGAGAGAGAGTAGAGCATGTGTCCGAGAAGGCCCAGCTGCCGATGGTGGTGAGGCCCTCCGGCACGATGGCGTGCCCCTGCGCGTCGGTTGGAGGCCGTGTCACGGCCCAAAAGTTGACGGCCAACACGGACGCGCTCGATGGACGCGCTCGCGGTGCTGACCGCCTCGTTGAAGGCGACAGGCAAGACCAGCTCGCCGGGCTACCACTACGACATGATGCACGATCTCGAGCGAAACGAGGCGTACGCCGTCGCCATCGCCGCCGAGGCGGAGGAGGACGACTTCATACTCGACATCGGCGCGGGCTCCGGGCTGCTCAGCCTACTCGCGAGTAGGAGCGCGGCGCAGCACGTATTCGCGTGCGAGGCCGATCCAGCGCTTGCCGAAACGGCGGCCGCGGTAGTCGCCGCCAACGGCCTCGATGCGCGCGTGCACGTCCTCCGAAAGCCCTCGACCTCGCTGAGCGTCGGGTTCGGCAAGGGGTGCGACCTGCCTTGCAAGGCGGACCGGGCGGCTGCTCGCGCCGGGTGGCCGCGTCGTGCCGCACGCCGGCACGATCATGGGCGTGCTTCTGGCGTCGGCGACGGCCGAGGGCATGTTCGGCCTGCAGCAGGATGGGCCGCTCGGAGCGGGAGCGACAGCCGGCCGGCCGGCGGCGCAGGCGACCTGCTCGGTGGCGCCGATCCACATGCACCTCGACCCGCTGGTCGAACACGGGCTCGCGGTGCCACTCTCGGCGCCCTTCGCCGCGCTGCGCTGCGGCTTTGCGGAGCGGCCGCCCGAGCTGGCGGGCTCTACAACCGTGGCCGTGACCGCGACGGCCGACGGCGAGGTGAACTGCGTTGGCGTGTGGTTTGAGCTGCAGATGGACCGCGCGGGCGCGGTACGGCTGGGCACGGCGCCGCGCTTTGCGGATGCCGCCGAGCAGCCGCCTTCCACCCCTCGACCGCCCGCACGCGACCACTGGCGACAAGCCGTCTGCCTGCTTCCCACGCCGCGCCGCGTCACGCGCGGCGAGACGATCACGCTCCTCGTCTGCCACGACGATATGACGCCGGCATTTGCGGTGCAAGAGGAGGCGCGGCCGGTGGTGGGGCCGGCGAGCGCGCCGCCCGACGCATCGCCGACTCCGGCGCGCGTGCCCTCCGGACTCGGCGGCGCCCACGACCACGCGGCGGTGCCCTGGCAGCGGCTGCTGCAACTCAACGACCCGGTGCACGCGCGCGTGCACGCGGCGTGGCTCTGCGAGCTGCCCCCGCACTGCGAGCTAGTCTTGGCAGTCGGCGACTCGCTCACCATCCCGGCGGCGTGGGCGTCGGCCGCGCCCCCCTCGGTGAGCCTGGTGTGCTGCTGTAGCGACGGGGCGCACAGTCGCGCGCGCGCGTGGCTCGGCGCCGCCAGCGTGCCCGCCGCCCGCCTCGCCGCGCTCGGGTGGCTGGCCGGCACGGTGGGCTCCGCGGCCGGCGTGCATGCGGCCGGCTTGCAGCACCCGGCCGAGCTCGCGGCCGCACTCGATGACCCGTCGGCGGTCGTGGCGGTCGTGGCGGAGCCCTTCTACGACGTGCTGCTCGGCAGGGAAGGCGCCTCGCAGACCTGGGCGCTCGACCACATCCTCCGCCTCCGGCAGCAGCTGAGCGCGCTGCGGGTACGCGGCGTGCTATCGACGGCAAGGTGCGAGCTGGTCCCGGCCGGTGCCACCGAGTACAGTGTGCGCGCCGTGGCCGTGGAGTGCGACGAGCTCTGGCGGAGGCGCCAGCCAGTGGGGCAGGCGGTGGGCTTCGAGCTCGGAGCGTTCAACGAGCACGCGCCGCGCCCGGAGGCGGGCGGTCAGCTGGTTTTGCTCGACGCGACGCCGTGGCGAGGTGTCCTGCGTGAGCTCTCCGCCGCTGTCACCGTCGCGACACTCGATGTGAGCGCCGCCTTCTCGGCGGCGGGCGTGGGCGGGCTGGCGGCGGCGGGCGCGGGCGCGGCGGGCGCGGGCGGCGTCGAGGCCGGCGCCGGAGGCCCGGAGCTGCACGCCGCGCCGCTGCGGTTGACGCACGGCGGCACGTGCCATGCGGTACTTCTCTGGACCGAGGTGGCGGTCCAGGTGGCCGGCGCCGACGCGACGGAGCGCGCTTGCGACTCCTACC